CGATATATAAGATATTCCTTGAATGTGATTAAATTTTGATGATTAGCACCCTTTTATTTGCGAATCTTCTTAAGGTTTTGATAAATATCCTGAAAATAGCTTAAACTTTGATTTTCATCCATAAAGGAATCTTGTACATTCCTCTCTATCACAGTGATATCGATTCTAAGTTGTATGTGGTTTTGCGTGAAGCGTCTGGCGTGAAGCACTTACCGTACTTTGGCACAAAACTTTACAGTAACTAGTAGTTATCACAGAACTTAGCGCACCATCCCACCAAACAAGTTGAGCGCTTGGGAACTTTTTAACTGCTAAGATGCCTTAGCCACCACTGAAGATAAAAGCTTTGTCTGCACGTGGAAACATATTCAGGCAGCCTTAATGGATGTATCACTAAGCTTAGAAAAGATTTTACAAAAATGTAAGCGATCAAACAACAGTCACATTTTTTGGGACACGTGTACTTTAAAAAAAATCAAAGACCTTATAAATTATGAAAAAAAGTCAACGGGAGACAAATAACCTTGAAGGACACTCTTAAAGAGGAGTGGAGAAGGGGCGTTGTTCGTTCAAAACAAATTTTCTGTTCTTCGTCCATTCCATAGCAGCAATGTTCTGGCTGTCGTTTTCGGTTTTATTCTTACTGATTACCCTAAGTTCAGGCCAGCAGCAGCTAGTTCAGAGTAGTTCGATATATGGTAAGTAGCATGCCAATTCTATAAATGTAAACGTATAGGTAATAGTGCGTGTATTGCGGAAATTCGACACTGCCGAAATTGAGTCTTCGTTTAGCCACACAAGAATGTAATGATAGTCCCAGTTCAGCCGGAGACAGTAATCATACGCAAAGTAATCGTAATATGTGAGTATCGCTGTAAACATCCAAATATTTCATATCATATGGTTCTACTGCCGTTGCTAATCTTTCAACGGCTGAGGAGTCTACCGAAACCGGGAATAAAAATAAATTACAGAAAATGAAGCACACAGATATGCGAACTAAATATAGGAAGACGGTGAGAAAACCAATAAGGAAATCTTGTATCCATCAGCGTTTATGTTGAATTGAGCTGTCAGGATTAGGAAGTGCAAGAATTGCAGATATAAAAAAATATACGCAAAAATTACCATTATTATAATATCTTCGGAAGAGGCCCAAACTGTCCACTTTTTTTGCAACAATTGGTGCAGATCAATATAAATACTAGAATTTGCAAATCTCATCACTTTTATCAACAATTATGGATTGTGTGACAATGTAGCCTATGAAGCCATTTGAATTTTGGGATTTTATATAGACATCTC